TTTCTGGTTAACACAGTGTCAGTTTAGACAGGGGTCTGGTTAACACAGTCTCAGTTTAAACAGGTTTCTGGTTAACAACGTGTCAGTTTAGACAGGTTTCTGGTTAACACAGTGTCAGTTTAGACAGGTTTCTGGTTAACACAGTCTCAGTTTAGACAGGTTTCTGGTTAACACAGTCTCAGTTTAAACAGGTTTCTGGTTAACAACGTGTCAGTTTAGACAGGTTTCTGGTTAACAACGTGTCAGTTTAGACAGGTTTCTGGTTAACACAGTCTCAGTTTAGACAGGTTTCTGGTTAACACAGTCTCAGTTTTGACAGGTTTCTGGTTAACACTGTCAGTTTTGACATGTTTCTGGTTGACACCGTGTCAGTTTAGACATGTTTCTGGTTGACACAGTGTCAGTTTAGACATGTTTCTGGTTGACACAGTGTCAGTTTAGACATGTTTCTGGTTGACACAGTGTCAGTTTAGACATGTTTCTGGTTAACACAGTGTCAGTTTAGACATGTTTCTGGTTAACAGTGTCAATTTTGACATGTTTCTGGTTAACACACTGTCAGTTTTGACAGGTTTCTGGTTAACACACTGTCAGTTTTGACAGGCTTCTGGTTAACACAGTCTCAGTTTAGACAGGTTTCTGGTTAACACAGTGTCAGTTTAGACAGGTTTCTGGTTAAACACAGTGTCAGTTTACACAGGTTTCTGGTTAAACACAGTGTCAGTTTACACAGGTTTATGGTTAACAACGTGTCAGTTTTGACAGGCTTCTGGTTAACACAGTCTCAGTTTAGACAGGTTTCTGGTTAACACAGTGTCAGTTTAGACAGGTTTCTGGTTAAACACAGTGTCAGTTTACACAGGTTTCTGGTTAAACACAGTGTCAGTTTACACAGGTTTATGGTTAACAACGTGTCAGTTTAGACAGGTTTCTGGTTAACACAGTCTCAGTTTAGACAGGTTTCTGGTTAACAGTGTCAGTTTAGACAGGTTTCTGGTTAACACAGTGTCAGTTTAGACAGGTTTCTGGTTAACACAGTGTCAGTTTAGACAGGTTTCTGGTTAACACAGTGTCAGTTTAGACAGGTTTCTGGTTAAACACAGTGTCAGTTTAGACAGGTTTCTGGTTAAACACAGTGTCAGTTTAGACAGGTTTACGGTTAACAACGTGTCAGTTTAGACAGGTTTCTGGTTAACACAGTCAGTTTAGACAGGTTTCTGGTTAACACAGTCTCAGTTTTGACAGGTTTCTGGTTAACACTGTCAGTTTTGACATGTTTCTGGTTGACACCGTGTCAGTTTAGACATGTTTCTGGTTGACACAGTGTCAGTTTAGACATGTTTCTGGTTGACACAGTGTCAGTTTAGACATGTTTCTGGTTAACACAGTGTCAGTTTAGACATGTTTCTGGTTAACTGTCAGTTTTGACATGTTTCTGGTTAACAGTGTCAGTTTTGACATGTTTCTGGTTAACACAGTCTCAGTTTAAACAGGTTTCTGGTTAACACAGTGTCAGTTTAGACAGGTTTCTGGTTAAACACAGTGTCAGTTTAGACAGGTTTACGGTTAACAACGTGTCAGTTTAGACAGGTTTACGGTTAACAACGTGTCAGTTTAGACAGGTTTCTGGTCAACACAGTCTCAGTTTAAACAGGTTTCTGGTTAAACAGTGTCAGTTTAGACAGGTTTCTGGTTAAACACAGTGTCAGTTTAGACAGGTTTACGGTTAACAACGTGCCAGTTTAGACAGGTTTATGGTTAACAACGTGTCAGTTTAGACAGGTTTACGGTTAACAACGTGTCAGTTTAGACAGGTTTACGGTTAACAACGTGTCAGTTAAGACAGGATTTTGGTTAACACAGTGTCAGTTTAGACAGGTTTACGGTTAACACAGTGTCAGTTTAGACAGGTTTCTGGTTAACACAGTGTCAGTTTAGACAGGTTTCTGGTTAACACAAAGTTCAATTTAGACAGGTTAACCATACAAATATCAGCAAAAATTCAAAAAAACAGTTACCAAATGACAGCAAATTTTGAAAGTATACAGTTTAGTAGACTGCACAACAGAAATTACAAGTACATGACAAGTACAATAGAAAGTCAATAATACAAGGTGGTGATCGTGAAAATTCAAATTTTTTCTTGGAATGAGCTTCATTCAAAAAGAAAACTGAACTGTAAATTTCAAGAGTAAACATGATTATAGAAAGCTTATTTAATAAGTAATTTTTAATGCATAGTATAAGCGATCAATATTGTTAAATATCTTGGATACAAAATAATTTGTAAGTTATACATGAAAGAAAGTTCTTCTTTTTATAGTTACAATTGATAAAAAAAAGTTTCGTAGCAAATAAAACACACTGAGAAGTATGAAATACTACTACCAGGTATATATTCTTCTATATATTAAATACAAGAGTAAGATAAGGGTAGGAAACTTTCATTCCTATCCTGCACACCGTACATATTCATGTTCTGACTTATAACAGAATGCTTTAAACGTATCTTACCCGGTAGTTACCATTGATGGTTTTATCTTGGAAGTTGAAGTGACAGGTTACTGCACAATTCAAGGTGATGAAAATGTGTGTAGTTTTTTTTTTAAACTAGTGGTATGTCTGTAAATTTATAAGAGTTCTCCAAACTTGTTACTTAGGCTTCCCTTTTAAAATTGTTTAATGCTTAGTGTAAGCTGCAATGAATATTTTTCATACTTCCTCAATGGTGATGCCTGCATTCCAGTTATAGCAAAAAATACAGCATATAGTATACACAGAGAGAAAACATTGCAGGGTGGCCACTGGTCATTTCATTATTTGCATTTAGCATATTTCTAGAAATAATTATATACCCAGTACATTTATTTTATGATTTTGTGAACATCTCGCAATTCGCGTAATTTCACACATCTCACCAGTTACATGCCCTTATCTCATAAACCCTTGATGCAATCAATATTCTGTAAGATCAAAGGTATATAAGAAGATAAGGGCAGGCAACAAGGATACCAACATCACTTTGAGCATGGGAAATTACAAGACAAACAAGTTATTTCTAGAAATACTAATTAATGTCCGGTGAAAGAAATGGAGAGGGCTTCTATTTTCTAACATCCCAGCGTGTTTGGAGAGTTTTTATCAAGTTTTCTTGATTTCTCATCCCCGTTTTGTCTTCTAAATCCACACCCATCCATGGTTACTAAGCAACAAACATGACATGATGCTATTCTTCAAAACAAGTTTGACTGACATGTTCACAAAATTCATAAAATATGATGGAGTTTGTTACAATTTTACGAGATCTTTCTATAGATTGAACTGACGTAATCATGGAGTAGCTAGTGAAATATATCAAACGTGAATAAACGTGACAATTTCAGCACCAATTGTATTACTGTGCTGAAATTTTCTGACAATTTATTGTGAATCGCAAGAAAGTTTATAGCCTTAACAAAGCCCTACTGAAATTATTTCAATGCACAATAGTTATAAATATTTCTGTGGACAACATTATTTTTTGTTTACTTGTTTGTTTGTCTGAATCAAGTACATTCATGAATAATTAATCTCATGGCGTGACGCTTTGTGACGTCATTTGAAACAAATGCCATTCTATAAACTGTTAAAGAAGAAAACAAGTTTGCATCATGTGATTTGAATAGTATCTTCATCTCAACTCACGACATATGATCATAAAAGTTACATACCCTTATTTTTTATATCTATTTATCATTTGTGATGTGTCAGTGCTTAGTTGTATAGTTTTAAGGTAATCATGCGTAGTTACCATGTTTCGCAGTATGGTGGGCGTCATTCAATATATTGGTACATCAAGTGTAAAGCTTCTGTTCCATGCAAACAGAATTAACCAGTTTGCACATTTTTATGAATTTTTCTATAAATTCTTTGTTGCATTTGGACCTAATTTCCCATTGGCAGATTTTTATTAACATTAAAAAAAATATATGGAAAAAATTATACAGGTTTAAAGGTTACAGTTCAAAGGG